CGTTACAAAGCAACTTTTGAAATGCTCTCATGCACAGATGTCCTGCAAAGTTTTAACAGTAACAACGTGCTGGGCTTTACCAGAGACATCTCTCCCTTGAGCTAGAAGAGTAACTATGCTGCCTATAAGCGGTGGGCATGTTGTTGTCATAAACTGGATGAACCATTTCGGAGAGAGACCACAGGCTTTGTACCATCTGTCTCTTTTAAAATAATTTGAAAATTCTGTTCATATGAGATATACCGGACAGTTTCAGATGTTCTCAGACAGTCTCCAAATGGAAAAGATATTCACCTGGCCTGTAAATCTGGGAATATAACCTTAGTACAGCGACCCTTTCATGTGACTTATCTGGCTAGTCACAGTGGAAGGAATGAATGTGCCGAGTTTTGTATTTGTTCCTTGGCTGTTGTCTTTGCTTTGGTTTACCAGCACTATATATGTATCTGGCCCCTTTGAAAACCAACGTTGAATTCTTGCCAACGTTCAACAATGGGCTTTACATGCATAAATGTTTTCAAGTTAGATGAAGAGCCCTTTCCAGAGTCCACAGGAAACATAGCTTCCCCTTCTCCAATTGGGACTTCACCTGTTCCTTCTGCTGTTCCAGTGCTTAGCACCGTGACGCTTCTGGTTTTCAGCTTCATACATCAGCATATATAGAATGCTAAGAAAATATGTTTTCCTCTGCCTTCCTTTGTGCTTGCGGGCCTTTTCTGCAGTTCTTAAGAATTTCAGAATTATTCACATCGTCATTGCTTGGAATTGAACAAATCATGTATTTCTTTTTTATTCAGTCAGTCAGTAAGGAAGGCTGAGTTCATCAGTTCAACAGGCAACCCAGATAACACAGGACTGGGAGAGAATTTTTATTGTTCTAAAGATTTAGTATTCAGATGTTATAGACTTGAGTAAATTCTAATTGTGTTTCTAACTCTACCTTTAATAAATGGACCATGGAGAACGGAAAAAAGGGCTGTGAGCAGCGGGAGGAAAAACAGGAAATGAGACCATGAATCAAGTATGCTCTTGGAAATGACAGTCAGGCTGGCTACAAATTCTGCTGCTTACTTGCAACTGATTTGAACGACACTAGTCAGATAAAAGTATATCAATATAAATAATCACTTATTAATACGACATAATATTAATATATTAAGTTTTGAAGTCCATAGCCAAATCTGAGGGTCTTGAACCACATGATATGCATTAACTTAAGCTTTGCAACAGCTTTCGGTAGATAACGCTGCAAGGCATGGCATCCAGGCTGCCCTCCACGGAAAGCGCAGGGAGATCTCTCGCATGATAACAGGTAGTGCATAATAGCCAGTGAAGAAATAAATAACAAAAAAGCATCCCAGGCTCTCTAGAATTGGTGTCCAGAAGTGGTGGTTTTCTGCAGATAGCACACATCTCCTGGAGCTGTCTCAGACACCAGCCAGAAATCCATCCTCACTGCTGCAATGAATACAATGAATTGAACTCACCCTTTCTGCTCAGAGAGAGAAGAATCATTCAATCTTTATTCACTGATCAGATTGTTAATCTTGATGACTCAGGAAACCAAACCATGTAGATGTGACTTCCTCTGTGATATCAACTGGTAACTGCTGCTGATAGGGAATAAAATTCTAGCATGCTCTGGTCTTGAACTAATGAGAATAAAACACTGAATGTGAAAAGCAAAACAACGGTTGAAGCACTGAGTCTCAGAGAAGTCATGAACTTTCAGCTTCCACAGGAGCTAAATTGGAATTGAAAGGGAACACGTTCTGCCCTTTATATAACCAGGCCTTTGAACATCTTTGCAAAGTCATGAGAAGAAACTGATGGGTTAGCTTAATTTGCCCTGCAGTCATTACAGATACTGAAAATTGTGCCAATAGCATCAGTGGAAGCAGGATTTGGCACACCAGCCATGTCGTGGAGATGCATTACGTACTCTTGAAACCTCACCTTATGGCAAAGGGCACTGTGAACTGTCCCATCCAACTATTAAAAGGAAAGAGTAATTTCCAAATGCGGAGCACTTGCAGATTTTGCTATTACGGTCATTGCTGCTAAGAGGGAACCTAGGTACTACAAAAGTCTCTCCATGCTGAACATTTCTAAGGAATAGATCACCATCAAGGGATAACCATGTAAAGTCATGAGGTACGACACGCTCACCATGGCAGTGACTGAGCAGGATGATCCTCTGCAGAAGAATAAAAGCTCATAAGAGGTGTGCAATGAGCCTTTATACGTCTCCTTGCCTATCAAGTGCTTGTTTTCATGGCATTTTTTAAGTCCTGAGACAAGAAATTTAGTAATAACTTGTTCCTGGGCTCATTAGGATTTATTTGTTTGTGAATGTCTGGCCATGCTGTCCTTCTCTACTCTTTGGCTTCACCTTATAACTAACAATTTGAGCAGTAAGTGGTACAAGAAATATTTCTGCTACAAAGGAATATGTCCAGACAAGGACATATCTTTTTATCAAGAGGGGACAGCAACACTGCTTTTTTAACAAAGGGTCAAGAGTTTATAATCTGGCCATAAAAACACGGTGGGTATGTGGAAAGGCACAGAGCTCCACAGAAAGTGAATGTTTTTAACCTAATAAGATCCTGCTTCTGTTTTTCAGCTGCACAGTGAAATATTTGGAGTTTACTAGCTTGAGATGGATTTTCTGCTTATGCAATTCAGAAATGGGTTCAGATCAAACAAGAATCAGAGGCAGTGAATGGATTTGTATTGATTGTTACATCTTTATTTGACATCCTGCTTTTACATTATCTTTTTTCTTGGTAGGAGGGATGTTCTGTCTGGTAACCAAAGAGAACTGACACAGATGACCAATGTTCTGCTTCTTTGGCACTGACTTACTGGGTGACTTCGGGCATGTCCCTTCATCATATGTATCTTAGAATGGCTTTACCTTGACTGAAGAGTGGGATGCCGGTGTTTGAGGTAGCTCACTTATCAAAAGCAGCCTAGCTTGGCTGCACAGAACTCCTGTGGACTGATTAACACTGCTGAGTAGTAACATAAACTGTTCTGTGCTGAGCTCTGTTTTGATATGTTTTGATTACGGCTGCTGCCTGCACTAGTTAGTTTGAACCAGGTTGTGTTTTTCTATGCGACATAGCAGTCAAATCCGTGTACTGTATTGACACACACGCTCTTAAAATAAGCATATTATTTATGAGGACATTTAAACTGTTTGAAGGATAAATTTTATACACAGAATATAACTTCCTTTTGTATTTGCAAATTGCTTGTGAGAGTTGTAAAATAACCATGAGTTGATTTGCCAGCTGTTAATGAACAGTTTTAGTCTGCAAATTTGTTGTGGCTTTTTTTACATTCATTTGTAATACTTTTTTCATCCAGCATTGTCCTTGAAAGAGCCCCCAGATATGTTTGACAGTCCACAGAGAAAAGCTTCTGACAAATATATAACTCTGGCCTGCAGTAAATAGTCTTTCATTTCCACCTATTACAGGGGAGCTATAAATTCTGGGGTACCACAGTCCTGCTTTTTCCACAACTAGTGAACCTTATGGACATATCAAAATGACCCAAAGCAATTTTGAGATGTAATTCTGCCCGTTTGTTCTTCAAGAATGGCTTTTTTTCCTGAAATCTATGCATATGTTACAGCATTCTGTAATTCCAAGTCATACAGAATAATGATAAAAACCCATAGTAGAAAATAGCTCTTGTTAAAAACTTAATTCTCAAATATAAATCTTCTGTTCAGCAAGACAAGAATATTTTCTCAGAACTCTCCAAACAGAGGACAACATATATCAGAAGAGCTGATTCTGATTTGGAGAAGGGCATTTCCACAACAGTTAGACAGCTAACTGAATAAATAAAATCTAGCCCTCAAAACATTCCTGGCACAGAAAAAAAATCAGTAAGCCCTCAGCTTGTTGGTGCTCACACACTATCAAGACAGATATAGAAGCACAGTCCCTCTATTCCCTTAAAAGCATAGATACCAGGGTGCTGAATTCGTAACAGTGTCCCTTCAAACAAACTCATTTAACATCTATAAAAACAGGCATAAACATCACGTCCCATACCTCAAGAGAACAGCTTATATGCCCTTGATGTATTTTCAAGTAATTTTTATTTAGTAGTAAAGTGCCTATCAGCCAATGCTTCAGTAATATTTTGAGCCCCAAGGAAGGCAGATACTGCTGAAACGTCAGCTGATAGACTCCTTACATCCAAAGGAAAATTGCTTGAAAATACATCAAGGACATGTGAGCAGTTCTGTTGATGCAACCAACATCATGCTTACATCTATTCTGAGAAATACAATGAGTCAGTTCACACTGGCTGCAATTCTCCATTATGATCAGAAGTAAACACACTGGGACAAATTTCTTACAAGGCAGTGGAAGAGTTCGGTGCTACTTCAGTAAAAACAGGATATCCTTCCTTAAGCCAAGATGGGAAGGTCGTCTAAGAGCAAAAAAAAAAAAAAAAAAACCAAGAGAGAGATTCCTAAATATTGTGGTTCTTAATATTTGTATTTCACTCGTGTCAAGGAGCCGCAGCAGAAGACTGGGGTTTCATTGCACTTCATAACTTGGCTAATCACAAGATACACTGGATGGATAAAACAAGTGAAGAGGCCAGACGGTAGAGGAAACAAAACAACATAGATGCATATATACCACCTATGTAAAGATGCTCTTGCCTCATACTTAGGCAAGAGAAATTCAAAGATGTGTCTTGACGCCACTGGCAGCCAGCATACCATATTTTTCTCTAATATTATACTGTACATTTTTTTTTTTTCTCGTTTCAGGTGCCTCCCCAGAACCTACCTCTGCAGTTCTGGAAACGCAGGTAGGCCTCACCCTACCCGCAGCGGGACTTCACCTGAGCAACAGCCGGATCCCAACGGCCTCCACACCGACGGCTGAAAAGCAAACGCGTTGCGTGTAATTAACGTTATGCCGTCAGCCTGTTGGAAAGAAAATTACATGTCCGCGGGGGTTATGTTCGCAGCAATTTTCGGCCATTATAACGTTGAAAATGGAGTAAGACCTTTCCGCTCGGGCCCAGGCCTCGAGCCTCCACCCCAGCGCCAGCTGCCCACCATGAGCGCTGCTGCCCTCAGGGAGGGACAAGGCGCGCACCTTCAAGCGCCAGCGGCAGGAACAGACTCGGGGAAGGGCGGCAAGTCCCCTCAGAGCGGCGTCGCGCTCGAGGGAGCCCCACAACCGGCACCGCCGGGGGGAACGACATTTCCCCGAGCGCTGTAGCCCCTCCACCTCGTAAGCCAATCGAGGACTACG